TGTGATCTATTCTATTATTTAAAAATAAAAGTCTTCAGTGACAGTCAGGCCGAAATCGGCCCAGCTGCTTCGAGGATCACCCGGAAAAACCGCCGCAGGCGGACAGACGGATATTTTTTTAATACGATTTTTGTTATTGGCAACGCAAATACATCATCTTCCCAAAATTTGGAATTTTTCTTTTGATATACATGATATAACAGACACTCCAATTTTATTATATGTATAGATTATATATTCAGATAATTCCGTTTTTTAATATCAAAATCATTTTTGATGACTTGAAAATGACTTAATAACAAAACTAAACTATCACGTCATCACGTGTTTGATAAAATTGTAAATCCGGAAATATTTAGCAAGGAAATTTATTTTGATGGTTGTTTCCCGATGGTCTGGTCTGGTTCTGGTAAGGGTTGCTAGGTTTTTTTCTTTTTTTTTATAACACAAGGTGACAAACGAGCAAGCGGCCACCTGAAACCGCCAAGGATATTTACATACTACATATGTACATGTAAACTGGGAGATTAAAATAGCAGTGAATTGTTTTCGGATATAGTTTTTTAGTTTGTAAATTTTGGTTACCGCATTGTTATTTGGATGTCTTAAGGAATTTTTTTTAACGTTTAGTTAACTGATGACCTAATCATGATTGGAATAGAAACGGATATTCCAATACGAAGGCGAGATATTCCGCGTATGGTGTTTTTTAATTGTTCAAACAATTTAAACCGCAAATTAACAACGTAACCATTTACAGATATTTTTTTTGTAACAGTTTGAAGAAAAATTAAGCTAGTTTTGCCAAAAAAAAGGTTACAATTGAACATAAAGTTATTGAAGTTTCTAGTCTTTTTAGTATAATCTAAATCTATACATAATAATTAAATTGGAGTGTCTGTTTGTAATATTAAAAAAAAAGTCCAGATTTCGGGATGGTGAAGCATTTGCGTTGCTGATAGCGAAAATGTTAAAATGTCGAAATGCATTAAAAATGCTTTTGTCAGTCTGTCCGCAAGCTGCGTTTGTTCCGGGGAATCTCCGAAACGGCTGGGCCGATTTCGACCGGACTCTCACTGAAGGGTAGCTGACATAGACGGGCATATTATAAATCATTGTAAATCAAACTATTATTGGAAGGTACTCTATATTAAGTAAGTAAAATCTGGTATCTCCAGGTATCTGAAAACGTCCAATGAATAGTTAAAACAGATTGTTTTATGAAAATAAAAACAATTTTAATATCTTTTCGTGACTTAAATATTTAACAAAACAACAAAAAATGTGTTCGGTTAGATAAGCTACATATATGTATTTAAATTCAATTTTTAATGTATGAAACACGGTGTATAATTAAAATTCCTCATATAGAGTATTTTTTTTAAAGTATTAATAATCAACAATTAATAAAACTAAGAGGAAACGTTACTCTGTATTCTAGATAAGTAGATTTAGTCATTATTAATTTCCAGCAACTTGGATTTTATTTACCACTAGTTTTCGTCCGCGGCCCCGTCCGCGCGGAATAAAAAGAATATATAGCTGTGTTCTTCTAGACTACTCAGCCATTTAGGAGATACCTTCTAATAAACATTAAAACTTCAGATTTTTCTATAAGATTAGTGGGTTTATTAAATTTGTGTATCTATGTTCACTTTACAACAATTTCCTTTAATCGTAAGTTGAACAAAACAAACGTAACAGAGTTATAGCGAATACGCTAATTAATCGATAGGATCGTATGTTGTAATCGATATCGATAATGCGACATCCGCGTCCTCTCATGTGACGCATAAAAAACAAGGGCTAATGAAGGAGCGCGGGCGCATTGACAGTTAGTAGGATATACAATATGGCGTAGTTTTAAGACTTTATGTGAATTAATATTAAACATAATCCCATAGAGTTATCTATTTTTTTAATATTGGTTCTTTTTTTTAATGTGTGACACAGTTTGTTAATATCAAATCAACATCTTCAAGTTATCAGTCCAAGCTCAATGAGGTTGGCAGTTAGACAGTATGTGGGCGATTCGAGTGTTCGCGTAATATTCATACGGGCGCACCCGGTCGAAAGGGCACGTGTGAAGGCCGTGAATTGACCGTATCCGCTTAGCGCATCAAAACTGACTCACTCATTATATCATGAACTGAATACTTATGTTAGTATCGCTATATCAACTAGCTTGACCATACGGAGGGTCGGCACAGTATGTGCTGCTCTTCCATTCATTTCTATGACTGACATATCTGAATCCACTATCTATATATTCTTAAGCATATCCTCTTTCATTGAATAGCATCGCTATATTTATCTTCAAATATCAAAATGAGATAATCTTACTAATATTATAAATTCAAAAGTTTAGACTTTGTAGCCTAGACGGTTGAGGGGATCTCGATGAAATTTGGCACAGTTGTAGAGAATAGTCTGGAAGATCATAGGCTACTTACTTTTGTTTTTTAATTCCGCGCGGACAGAGTCGCGGGCAAAAGCTAATGTTAAATATTTATCAACTAACTTTTGCCCCCGAATAATCAATCAAGGAATAATACGACCTCGTAGAATTATAAAAAAAGTAAGTAGCCTATGTTCTTCTAGACTATCCTCTACATTTATGTCTAATTTCATCGAGATTTTATCAGAAATTTAGGGTACAAATTTTAACAAACATGCATCTTCACATGTAAACTTTCGCATTTATTATATTAGATAGTTAGATAGACGGACCTCTGAGCCAATAAACCATGACTTCTTACTACAAGTTAATAATTCTTATGTCAAACAGCCGCAAGTAAAGTGGCTATTGTTATATTCTGACAATAATTATCAAAGCGTTAATCGTACTAATATTATAAATGCGAATGCTTTGATAGATGAAGGGATGTTTGTTAAAATGTATTTTCAAAACAGATCGATATTGCTGAAATTTGGCACAGATGTAAAACTTAGTCTGGAAAGTAAGAAGTCACGAGCGAATGCTAGTAAGGAAATATTTGTAAAACACGCTTTATTTTAAGTTTTTTTGTAAAGTGGAAAAATAATATCATCTCTAGAGACATAATGGATTAAATGAAACTATGGTTTTATTTCATTTAATCCAGACTTGCCAATGTTGGTCACTAGATGGCGCTGATAAAAGATGCACCATTTGTGTGACAATTATATTATTAAAAATATAAAAGAGTATAAATCTAAAACTGTTAATGATTTTTTATTTTAACACTGGCCATCGACAATCCAAGACGAGATAAATTATAACGATAATAAAAACAAAAGAGATACTACAGCACGTGATACGAAAATAGAAACAACGTAATTGTAAGCTCTTGTAATAAATTGTATTTATTGTGTTTATCAACAAATAAAGAAGATATGAAACAAGATGCTTTACATTTATACACATGCGACATTAAAGTTTGGTGCCCTAGAAAAAAGTCTGGCCGACGGGTAAGTTAACTTTCTCTTATCCGATTCAACTTGACACTAAGTATATATCAAGTTTGATGCCAATATCTTGAGTTATAACCGTCGTTAATGTCATAGGTGGTCTTATGTAATTTTTATGTAAGCATTATTTAACGACGATTTGTGAACTTTATAATGGCGTGTGATTTTATAGTCTGTATTAAAATAACGGCAGTATTTAAAGATATTTTATAGCTTTATATTATACATGTATCACTAGTGTGGTTGTTACAAAGATTTTTTTATTAGTGGTAGAGAAGGTAAAGAGTCAAAGGTTAGCGTGGGCATGTTATGAGGAGGGATGAATCGCATATAACAAGGAGAACGTTAGTTATGAGTGTTGATACACCGGTAGAGGTAGACATAGCTAGAGATGGATGGATTACGTGAAAGGTGACATGATCAAAAAGAGAGTGATGACTGAGATGACGTATTATAGAGACATGTAGAGGTCAAAAATCTGTTGTGTCACTACGGGAGTAGGATAAGAAGGAAGACGATAAAGTCGACAAAAGAGGTCCTCATCTACGCCCGTTTATGCAACAGGGGACATTTAATGCGTTGTCAGCCTTCGAATGTTATATGCTCGGGTCCTTAAGGATCCTAAGTCGTAATAGTGTATTTAAAATAACCATAAATTTTTAAAAATACTATTAAACTTACAAACTTGCTTGATATATTTAATAATTATTATAATTCAATAATATGTTGACATTCTAAATGAAAGATGTTTGGGAAATTAAAGTTATGTGGTACAGACATATATATATACTTATATAATACATGTAAAATATTAGCTTATTATTTAGTAGGTACATGTTGTAGTTATTGTCTGTTCTCGGGCATATCTACTCGTACGTATTTATGGTAATTTCGTTTTTTTAATTCAACAATTTAATTAACTTATTCAGTAACCTTCAATTGTTTATTTATGGCAATAACCGATTTCATCATTCCGATTTCCAGTCACCTGTATTATGAAATAAATTAAATAAAAACCGATAAAATAGCATCATATATTAATATAATAAAATAAATTAAAATATTACGGTTATTATGCCGTACACAATAGCGAATTTCAAAATCGAATTATTTCGTAAGGACAGACGATGGCGCGAACCAATTTGAATATAAATGACGAATTGGTGGATGGACGTTAGAAGTTAACTTTGTAACATTTGAATGGATCTTGATGAAAAGCATAGATGTAGAGAATAGTGTGGATGAAGACTATCTTACTGAAATGTGAACACACACCAAAAGTGTCTAGGAATCAAGTATATTTTTATAAATTCAAAAATGTCCGATAATTCTTGTCCAAATTTAGTATTTCAAATAGTTTCCATACTTCAATTTCTATGTTTATGATATAAATCTACTTCCAAATTGTCAAAAAAACATTCGATTTTTCAGTTCGAAAAAGTGGGCAGCGAATTAAATTCTTTGACTGCACAATCAATTGTTAAGAATTTTAAAATGTGTACGTAAAGCATTTATTTTTGTATACCATTAAAAATTTAAACGTGTTAATGTTTAAATAATTTTATGTTACACAGTAATTCGTGCTTCATAAAAATATCATTACCATTCAGTTTACATTTTGTAACATCACAGAAACAAACGTTGTCCGTGAACTATGCGTGAGGTGAACTTTTATCGTAATCTTAACATATTCTATTTTGAACGTGATTATTGATGACATTTAATAGAAGTTCTTTTACAAAAGGAAAGGATATACATGTATCTTCTAATTTTATATAAGTCGCTCAAAAATTCTTTTAATATGTCCTAAGACATTTCTTTCTTAAAATAGTACGAGCAACATTTACTTAAAATACAATAAATTTTGACACTTTAAACCTGTTAACCTATCGTTTGAAGTTATTATACGTGAATTTTAATTGCAATAATCGCCTAAGAATATTCAACAACTAATTTTTTATAAAATACTTCTATAGTATTCTATGTACTCACGGGAAGAAATAGCAAGAACATTTCTAGTAAACATTGCTGCGTAATTTAGGTAGGCGCTTAAATTTAAATAGTAAGGGCACAAGAGAAATAAAATAATAAATCTTTATCAAATTAATATTGAAAGATTTTTTATAATAAAAGAAAGATTAAAGCACTTAGCAGTTCTTGAATAAAACTCTATAATAATATCTATGTTGTTAAGTAATTATTAAATACTAATGTGTTATACAAAATGCACTTGATATTGTGATATATTACCGATTTATGCAAGTAAAGGTGTTATTCTTTGGCTAACTGTGATAGTCATTAAAATATTATCGTTACAAATTATTGCTTTCTTTAACATGGTTATAGCCTTATTATAGTTAAAGCCGTCCTGTATCCGGTAACAAGGACGCATCAGTCAATATTCCTTCAAGACCGGGACTGAATTGTCCTTCTAAACCAAAAGCTCTTTCAAATTCCTCCACTGTACAACAATAAGTAAAACCAAATTTGACGTCACGCCATACTGGGCTCTGCATCCATTTCACCAAATTGCAAATATCTTTGCACACGACATATTTACGGGCTTCTGATAGTTTTAAATCAGGAACATTTACTTGAATGATAGCTAACGATGACCTTGTATATTCGTCTTGAACAACCTGCAACCAGACTAATACGTTTATTTTTATACTAGCTGTTTCCGTGCAGCTTCATCCGCATGAAATTATGAAACTTTTATTTTATTCTTTACATTTGTCAAATTATCAATAGCAAATGTCAAACTGACATGACAGACCTTAGCAATCTTTCTTTCTTGATGTTGGGAGCAACTAATGGTCTCTTTCCCACATTAGGGTTTTTATGTAAAATATTTACCCCCTAAGTTTAATGGCTTAAAAATATGTAGCCTAAAGCATGACGTAAGTGTAGGGCTTTTTATTAAAATAAGAATTATTCAAAAATATGCTGTAATTGCTGACATCTTAGACAACAAAGAAGTGTGTGTTTACGCTTTATTATAATTGTATAGATAGATAATAGGATATATGACAAAGTGGCAAACAACCGGCCACTTAAATTCGCCGAAAAAGTGATGTGACCGCTGCTCATAGCAATTGAGATGCGTTTTCTACCCTTAAACAACGGTGAAGGAGACGCACATAGAGGATTGTTCCACTTCTATTGCATCTCCTCCTCCGTCAAATCCTTCCCACCCCTACCTTAAAAGAAAAGGCTAGGAAGAGAAAGGGACTAAAACAAGGCCTCTGAAAGGCACACTCATCAGAAAAAGTTATTTCTATTTCACGCCTGTCTTTTGTGTGGTCGTGGTATTGCGGTGGGTGAGTCGGCCCATTCGTGCGAAGATGTTAAAGTAGGTTTGAAGACTGTTATAGTTTGGAATGGTAAGAAAGTAGTAAAAATGTGCAACTATGTACCTTCCATAAAAACGTTGGAACGGGCTGTCGTTTGTCGTTTCGGTCATATATAAATATATTCTGCAATTTTGATGTAGTAGTCGGTAATTGAAGTTGCCCAGAAACACCAGTTCTAACGATCAGATTTCTGGTCAGCGGTGTTACTAATATTCTGATTCTCATTTCAATGTCATCCCAGTTCTGTAATAATAAACAAAAATGTTTGTAATAAATGTATGTCACTTAGTTGGAATATCAAAAACGTTTGACTTTTTAATATACTAATTTAAATACTATGATGGTTAATGATGTTTATTATTAACTTGTTCTTGCTCGCAACTTCGTCCGCGTGAAATTAAAAAATAGCCTATGTTGCTTACAGATAAATTACCTTTCTAACGATGAAAGAATTTTGTTATTATTTCAATGCATACAAAAATACTAATCTTTCCTCTTTTTATTTTAGTATAGATTTAGTTTAGCAAGCCTTAACTAGATCATTATCTTAAATCTATACTAAGAAGACATTAAACAGCAATATGATTTGAGTCAAAAGCGTTACAATTAATGACAAAACTGAATTAGAAATTACCGACGTCCCGCATGTGCTCCAATGTGGTACTACATTCAAATAACTGTATGTAGCGATCTGGGACACGCCAAGGGATACATCTTGAGGGTTAACTAATTGCCTTTTAGTAAAACAACAATTAAAACCTCTTGCTAACGGTTTGATTGAATTGATATGATACATTTGTTGTGTACAGTCATACAATTCATTAAAATTATATCTGATTAACTCATTATCGTACCATTTAACATCTTTAGGTTTTACTAAAGCTAAAGATCCATTTATTTTATGTGTTGAATAAATAGGTACGTAATTGATATTATCATAGCATATCTCATAAACTTCATCGAATTTTCCATCAGTTTCAATTCCAACTTTAATTGTTTCTGTATTGCGTTTTGTTGGACTGCAACGTTCCCCGGTGGGTTTTGCAACCGGCGTAATGTCGTTTTTACATTTTAAATCATTGTAATCAATTTCTTTATCACCAATTTTTAGCGTGGTATCGAAAACGCAATAAGCTACCAGTTCAGTTCCAGGGAACATTTCAAATCCTTTTATACAGTAAATTACTATTTCGGAGCCTTCTTCAAAAGTCATATTGACGTTCTCCGCCTTTGATGAATCTCTAAATTCCAGTACAGACACTGTTGGGCTATCAGGATTCCATTCATTTTTTAACAAGCATTCTGTGAAAAATATTTCAAATATCGATACAAAAAGATAACTATAAATTGTGCAGAGATTGATTTGAGACTATCACTGAGAAGTCTGTTTTTTTTTATAATATAAGTTGGAAAACATGCAAGCGGTCACCTGAATCCATGGAAATGGACAGTGACCGCTGCCCATAGACTTCCGCAATTGAAGATGCGTTGCCTACCCTTGACGAGGAAGATACGTATATAAAGAGGACATTTCCCCTTCCTATGCGTCTCCTCCACCGTCAAATGCACTTTTCCTTCTCATCCTTTCCTCTTAAGAAAAGCGTGGAAAAGGAAAGGGACTAAAATTAGGCCTTCGGCACTACACTCATCAGACGAAACGCGGAATTGCTTCCACTTCACGCCTGTTTTCTGTGTGGTCGTGGTATTACAACGGGAGAGCCGGCCCATTCGTGCGAAGATGTTAAAACGGGCTCTAAGTCTGTATATGGTGATCGCTACCAAGCGACAAGATCTTGATGTTTTGTTCTATTTATTATGTTTACTAGTCATGTCTGTTAGTTTAACTGTGATTTTTTCGCTGTTGCCTTGGCGATAGTCACGCGGCCGGCCGTAAAAATAACACTAAAATATAGAGGTCTATGAAACCTTACGCTTCGACCCCAGATGAGTGATCACTTCGACAAACAAAACATATCTAAACGTAAAGTTATAAAATAGAATATGAACTATAGCAAGAGTAAATATGGCAAGAATTAATGAAGTATACAAATTATACTCACGTGGAATAATTTGGAAATCTCTAGTTATTGTTTCAAAGCCGTTGCTCACATTACATGTAAAACGTCCCAGATCTTTGGGACTCATAGGAAATCGGTAAGCCATTTCGGAATAATCTATTGGTATCCCATCATGGAACCACTTCACCTGAAAATGTTAATAGTAGTTAGTTAGTAATTAATATAATGTGACTCGGTTAACTTCCAAATATAAAAAAAATACATTTTTAAATCATAATTATCTCTTGTCGCCCAAAACAAAAGAGCGTCGCTGTCTCAGGGCTTAATTTATTCTATAGGCTCTGGTTAAGAATCTCGAAATGTGCCAATGTAATTTCGATTTTCGAAAATTATACATTATAACGTTGAAGGAAAACATCGTGATGGTGCACATATATAACTACATAGAAATTTAAAGATGTGTAAAGTCAAGCAACTCTCATTGGGCTAGCATATTGACTATGCCACAGTCATCCAAAACTCCCTCAGTGAAGATATATGTACAATGAGCTAAAGAAGATGATTCTACTAAACTTCGAATTAGTATGTTTATGGTAGGACTTAAAAAAATTACTAGCTTTCGCTCACGACTCCGTCCGCGCGGAATGAGAAAAGAATTAAGTAGGCTATGTCTTCTTCCAGGCTATCCTCTACATCTATACCAAATTTCATCGAAATCAGTTCAGTCGTTTAGGCTACAAACTCTCCCAAACATCCATTTATCTAAACTTTCCCATTTATAATATTAACTAGTATGATTAATGAAATACAATTTGTACTCACAGTTTTCACACCAGAGGCTTTGCATGACAAATAAGCCTCAGCATCGGCTACATAATATATACTTTCGTTGGCTGGTTCGTAGAAGTAAAGCGGGTACTGAACGTTTATTATTTTAGAGGCGCTCGTCGCTCCAGAAAAGTTGTTAACTCGGCAAGTGTAAACTCCACCGTCTCCCATGTTGATGTTTTTCAAATATAATTCATCGGTTGCTATTAAAAGTGGGCCCTGCAAATTATTTATTTAGAAAATTATAACTACACAAAATTGTTCGTCACGGCACTGCAATATGAAAATTTGAAAAATACATTAACAAAAGTTTTAAATAGTTGGAGCATCTTTTTAAGTATAAAATACCTGTGGCAGCACCGTCCTTCCATAACATTTACACTGAACAGTTAAAATAACACTTCAACCATACAATTAAACAATTTAGTAAATAGTCGTAAAAAATCGTATTTCTAATAATTTCTAACATAAACTTCTCATTGTAAAATAATAATAAAATCATAGATCTTTTAGTGATAGTGGTCATTATGCATGGACGTGTGTGTTTTGAAATAATTTTTAATTACCTTATACCAAGTCAACTGATCGCTAAGCGTATGAGGTATATCACAATCAATTTTAATCGTGTCTCCGTATTGAACATCCAGAACGGTTTTTTTCTCACTTTCATCGGGATAACCTGTAAAAAAAATAACAACTTTACAGGCCTTCCCTACCACTCAGATAGCTTAAAAGTCACTATCAGATAGAGTACCAAAATCCGATATTCCCATCACATATTTCATACGTTGGATTGTTGTTATCAATTTACAAGAATAGTGGGACATGGCCTAACAATTCAAGTTTCTAAAATTTTGTAATGATACTTATCAGAATGCCGGCGTGAAAATCAGTACAATCTATCTATACTAATATGATAAAGCGTAAACACACAATTCTTTGTTGCCTAAGATGTTGCTGACATCTTAGGTAACAAAGAAGTGTGTGTTTGTTACAGCATACTTTTGGATAATTCTTTTTTTAATAAAAAGCCCTACACTTACGTCACGCTTTAGGCTATATGTTTTCACGCCATTAAACTTAGGGGGGTAAATATTTTGGATAAAAACCCTAATGTGGGAAAGGGACTATAAATTGCTACCAACATCAAGGAAACAAGGTTGCCATGGTTTGTGATCACATCACATAACATGATATGTCATTTTGACATTTGCAATTGATAATTTGACCCATGTAAACAATATAATAAAAAAATCATAATTTTACGCGGATGAAGTCGCACGGGAACAGCTAGTTCCATATAAAACGGATACAAAGACAATCATTTGCATTATCCCAAAAACATATTTAGACGTTGAACACGACTTTTAGCAATCAGTGTCGCCGATTGATGTTATGGACGTTTTGGTAAGAAATTGCAGCATTAATATTATGTATCAAAACATTATTTTAGACCTAAGCACTTTATAAGCCTACGTGTTATAAAATAATCATGTTTCAGTAATAATGATTTGTTATAAATCTGCGCCGGGCGCTAGAGGCACGGTAACGTAAAAGAGCGATAAAAAAATTAACCTGTGTTAAGCTAACATGAATTTTTAACTTACTTTGGACATTAATATCGTAGTAGTCAGTGTCAGTGCCCATTGAGTTTTCTGCTATACAAACATATCTGCCCTGGGTAATGTCGTCAACATTCTTTATTACCAAAGTGCCGTCCTCCCTTATATCATGCCAATCGGTTCCTGAAAAAAATAGGAAAGCTTTGAAAAGTAAACAAAAACAAAGAAAAAAAAATCTTTTCTTTTAAAACACTAACGGCGAAATATTGAAACAACATACATATAGTGTCGTAAATGATGAGGCCGCGCTTAACGAATTCCATGAGAGAGAGGCGCTTACGGAGCAGTGTTTGAGATTTAAGAATCAGCCATAAGAATATTACAAGTAAATCAATATAAATAATCGTTTTTCATAATAACTGAATTCGATTCTCATATCTTTGATGTCCTTAATTACCTTTCTATGAAACTATAACTGATCTAAATCAAAGTTATCGAAACTTATGAAAAATGGTAGTAAAGTTAACAACAAAACATTGTAAAGTATTTTTCTTAAACAAGTTTTAGTTACCTGAAGCAATTTGAAAGGTGTCTTTCATCCAAATGATTGTCGGCTTCGGATTTCCATTTGCTTCACAAGGGAGTGTTAAAATTAAATCGTTGACAACAGCATTGATGGTTTTAGATACTGAGGACGTTACGATCTCAGGTGGACCTGAAATTTGAAAATATATTTAGTAATTGATAGTGTAGCTTTCGCCCGCGACTCCGTCCTTGTGGATTTAAAAAACCAAAAGTGAGCAACCTATGTGTTCTTGCAGACTATCCTCTATATCTATACCAAATTTCATCGCAATCCGTTCAGCCGTTTAGGCTACAAACATCTATTCATCTACCTATTTCTATGTATGAAATATGATTTACTATCGATTGACTTGCAACCGAGTATTGACAACTTTTATAAATCTTCGAGGATGCATACCTAATCACTATAAATATGTTTCACCATATGTTTTCGGTGCTCGCAACTTCATAAGCGTGGAATTAAAACAATAAAATTATAATCTATCTTACTCAGTGATAACGTAGCTTTTTATGGTGTTAGATTATTTGAAATCGGCCTAATAATTTTTGAGTCATTTCAATACGTACAAAATAAAAAAATACAATCTATCCTCTTTATAACATTAGTAATTTGTTAAGATCACCTAGCGCCATCCTTCGCATGTAATGTCTTAATGATAATTGAAACATCTTACTTCTTACTAATTACTAATATTATAAATGCGAAAATTTAGATGGATGCTTGTTAGAGTTTGTAGCCTAAACGGCTGAACGGATCTCAATGAAATTTGGTATATATTTAGAGGATAGTCTGGAAGGGCACAGAGACTTCTTACTTTTGTTTTTTTTTTTAATTCGGTGCGGACGGTGTCGCGGGCGAAAGCTAGTTATGTAATATTTTAATCCATAAGTACAGTTGCGGTAATCCGCGGTGTTCCACTTAGGAAAAAATGCCTTGTCCTTGCACCTAGAGACTCCGCCTCTTCTTACAAATAACCAATTATATAGCTGTGAGTGGCGCAAACGATGGGATAATAATAACAAGATAATAGCTGTATAATACTAATCGACTATTTGTTCCCACGAACACATTTTAAAGCTGCTTTGGTTTTTGTATCGTGTCATCAACGATTCAAACGATTGTAGCTTTTAAGTGGAACATCGCCAATTACCCCGACTGTACGTATTTTTATGAAATGTATACTTAATGCAATTCGTATCAATTATTCAAAAGCACTCCTATAAAACCCGTTTACTATGAATCAATTAAATTTACCTTGTACTTGTAGCGTGTAAGATATATTTCTTGAACCTCCGGAATTCTGTGCAACGCATGAATAATGACCACTTTGTTGTAGTTGTACTATAGACAGCCGTAGCGTCCCCGAAGGATCATTCTGCCTGAAATATAGCGAACGACCAAAATAGCTTAGATAAACAAAACAAAACACTCTGAGGCAAAGGTAAGAATTAGATAATGCGAGGAGAATAGTAAAAACTAATTTAATGTCGTCAAATATTAATGTATACTATCTATATTTATACTAATACTAGCTGTTCCCGTGGGGCTCCATCCTCATGACATTATGAAAATTTCGTTTTATTAGCAGCTCGTAGCTTATGGCCCCTTTCCCACATTGTGGTTTTTATCCAATTTATTTACTCCCTAAGTTTAATATCATGAAAATATATAGCCTAAAGCGTGAAGTGAGTTTAGGGCTTTTTATTAAAGTAATAGTTATTCAAAAATATGCTGTGATTGCTGACATCTTACGCCATAAAGAAGTGTGTGTTTACGCTTTATTATATTAGTATAGATATAAATCTAAATATAGATATAGATTATAAAGTCACGCCGACGAAGTCGCAAGCAATAGCTAGTTGATATTAATTATAAGTGTGTATGTTATTGTATGTAGACAGCAACCATTATAGAGTTTTATTCGAAGTAGTTATTACTTTTTCGATTCCTAGGGGGTAGGTCCACCAACTACCGACCATTTCGACGCCCAGAATGGGTTTTTTCCTTGATCAGTAATGTTGCAATATAAAAAAAAACTTTATTTACCTTAGTACCTCGGAATGGTTATGCCCCTTCATGAAGATCCATTTTATACTTGGCTTAGGATGTCCAAACGCCTCACAAGGTAGTTCTATTGTACTTCCGACTTTTACTTTCCATGTACTCTTCGTTGGCGGAGTTATTCTAACGTCGTCTGTAATCGAAACATCCTTAACAATTTATTTACTTTTCAAATTTTGAAATTTGCCTAGTCACTCCGACATGCATGCGAACTCTCGTACATAAAAAATGAACATGCGCGAAAGTCGTTACTTGCGTGTATTAGTCAGGTAATAATACAAATAATGACAGATTAAATGTAATAAAATATGCAATAACTTTATCATTTTTAGAATGTTTACTTTACAAGCCTTCAAGAAGTTCAGAGAATATGCTAGCAAAATCTTATGTATGATTAGAAACACATTTGGCAAAAACGTAAACATTGTATCAGTACATACCATATATCATAACGTCCACGATTTTAATATCGGATCCCAATTCATTTTCAGCATTACAATAATATGTTCCCGAGTCGCTTATCAAAGCCTTCATACTGTAAATAGAGACATTATTAAAGCTATAACTTAAGTTCCACTTTAGTAAAAATTTCCTTCCTCATTTCAACGAGACAAACTCCGCCTCTTCTTGCAAATAACTAATTAGCAGTGAGTGGTGCAAATGTAGGAATAATAATTATAAAAACTAGCCGGCTGTTACTAAACGACTTTATTTCGTACAAGCATATTTATAGGCTGCGTTGTATTGATTTTTGTTTCGCGTATCGTTTCGAAATGTTCAAACGATTGTAGCTTTTATGGTGGAACACCGCCAGCATCCCTCACTGTACATTTACACGTATACTCACATTCTTAATAGTTACAAAAATGGTTTACCCCAACATGTTGTCTCGATAAATTCGTTGTCGTATAGATTTCTTGATCTCGACTCCATTGAATGTCCATTTCACATTTGGACGCGGTATACCGTCTACTTGGCACGTTAAGTAAATATGTGTGCCTAATTTACTTTTTATTGTTTGCTTTTTTGGTCTTATTTTTGGTGGATCTTGAAATAAATAGTTATGGTTTATTAAAATAAACTAAACTAATTATATATCGGAATGAATTTTTGAACTTTCTTAATTAAAACAACATAAACACTACCTTAAGAGTTAAGAACACGAAAAGTCTAAAACTAGCACGATGACGTCACCGTCAGTCTTATTTTTCAAAAGAATTTAGACTTAAGAAAAAATTATTAATACTCACATTTAACTACTAGTTCTATTTCGTGTTCAACTTGTCCAAACAAATTAAACGCCTCGCATTTATACGTTCCTGCATTATTTAGATCTGTGTTATTTATTTTAAGTAGATCCGAATAATTTTCAAGGGGACTAAACACTTGGGCGTAACGATGTTTAAAACTCCATTTTATTCCTGGTTGGGGTACTCCTTCAATGACCCTAAGAAAAAATGGATTATTCCCAACCGATTATTATTATTATTTACCTCGCTCTGTCCCCACGTGGAGACAATGAGAATAAAATTTTTCATCAGTCCCACCTTTTGCGACGAGGGGACGGGTAGAACTTATTTTATTTCGTAAATGTTCCATCTGTCACCTTATTGGTGATAGTAGGACTAAAAGATGGGACGGATGAAACTTTGATTCTTATGGCGGGACAGAGCGGTGTGAAAAAATAATATAACTAGTTAGATTTATATCGTTATTAGTTATTAATGTTACTCTAGTTCTCTTAAATAACGTTACATCTGTCTTAATACTTATTTAATAGTAAGTCTTATTCTTTAAAACAAGGAAAAACTTTAACAGTACAGTCAGCTACATAAACATGTATATATTTAGATAACTTTCGAATCTTTTACAGACCTTCACAATAATATGTTCAAGGTCAGAAGCTTACACATAGAATAACATACAAGTTTGTGAAAATTTGAACATTCCTTTTGCATTTATGCAGCTGAGTGTATAAATGTTATGGCAGTTAAAAGCCATTGTTATATTAGATAGCTATCGCACGCGACTCCCTCTGCGTAAAACAAAAAAAATCAAAAGCAAACATCTCAACCAAATTTCATCGAAATCCGATCAGCGGTTTATGCTACAAATTCTAACAAACATCAATCTAAACTTTCGCATTTATAACATTAGTAAATATGATTGTGGAACCAAAACATAAACTTACTTGCAACTAATTGTAGCATCATTTTTCCTAGTTACGTTGACTTGGTTAATGGAATCATCGATTATCGGTGCAGCTAAAATTAAGAAAAACATTGCAAGTTAGTACAATTTTAATACAAAAATTACTAGCTAGTTTATGAAACACTAAGTAAGTAGCCTATGTATTCTTCTAGAATATGTTATGACTATGACATTAAAGGTAATAGCTTGCAATTTGGAGTTTCTGAAAAAATCTAGAAGTTGCTGAAAGAAGGAATTACCTATTCCTGTCAAGACGACATTGATGTAGTAAATCTGTCTTTTGAGTTCGTTTTTAGCTTCGCAAATGTATTCTCCTTCAAACTTTGGTTTCATGTATATTATATTGAGAACAGATCCATCTTCAGATTTTTCTAAATCTTCGTCTGTGTCTAACAATTCACCATTGAGATACCACGTGATTTCTGCTGGAGGATTTGCCTCAATGATGCAATACAACTTTCCTTCATCGTCGTAGTCAATACTTGTGTCTGAAAAGTCGAATAATTAATGAATTATCATCAATTCACCTATACGTCGGCACTGAGGTGCTCGGAACCTACGCAAAGTTCAACGAAGACGTTCAAAGCACCCGCAGTAGGTCAGAATGGTTGACTAAATCCTATTCACCCCATAGTTAGGTAACTCCGATCAACTCAGTGGGGACATTTGATGAGCTGGGGATGATGGTGATATGTGCAGTGCATTTCACCACGATGTTTTCGTTCACCGTAAGAACAACGGGTAAATCATCATTATCAATTTTTGCTGTGATCAGTATTAATAATTGAGCGAACAATAACAATGTAGAAGAAACAAGCGAGTTTTCCGTATTTCTCGTTCTTTGCATGCGATAGTAATACTCTTTTTCTTCCTACAACTGGAAGTGAATTTGTCGGAGAAACCTGTATGGTTATCCTGTTAAGTTACACTTTCTATTGATCTCAATATGTCTGCAGATGAACATGAACTTTACGTCAATAACAGTTAGTATATATATAGTGTTACCTTCGGAAACGTTCAATGCAACGAATGTATCAATAGCTTGTACAGTTACTGTGACATTATCTTGACCAAAGTCATTAGATGCTCGACATTGATAAGAAGAGTTCGCCTTTACTTCCTCTAAATCAAGTACACTTAAGTAATCATATGGCAATTCTTCTTCTACGACCTGAAAACAATAAGTTACATTATACTTGTAATTTAATACAAAAAAATTTAAAACAAAATTATTGCCAAAGTAAATTCCTCAGTCATAGAACACCAACTTGCTCTAAGCAAGCAATTTAACTTTTGTTGAGAGATTTTTTTATTATTTCTGCCCCGTAAAGCCATTTTGGATTGGTCTTTGCTTGGTGATATTTTCAAACTTGTACGATTTATGGTCCCAAAAGAAGCGGGCGTACCATTTCCCCAAAGGCTATCAACTCATCTGTAGTGCATCTGGTATTCAAGATGTCGATGGGCATGGCTTATCGCATTGGTGTCCCTCCGCTTTTTTGCCCTTATATCTTTAACTCTAATGTTGCTAGTACAATATATTTTACCATTTCTGAAACTGTCGATCCAGTCTTTTCGTCTATCCATATTACTTTCGGCGTAGGATACGCATTGATTTTACATTGGAGCTGCAACGGATCACCATATTTCACTTCCCTTGCAGGATCTCCAATTAATGTTACGGTCGGTGCTCTATTTTCTGCTTTATCCTCTAAAACATTTCAAGGTTATATTTAAAACAAGTTAAAAGATTTAAAGGAATTAGTTATCCAAAAGCATCATTTCTTAAATATCTTACCCGTTGATGGCGTTTGAGGTTCAATGGGTGTGAACGATAGTCGTTTTATTGGTTCTTTGGTTTTTGTATTATATCCCTTTACCTAAATTAAATATCAAATTATATTAATTATATTATATTATTTTATATATTAAATTATTTATTTACATACTTAATATCGAATTCATTGAACATTTTAAAGTATTACATTTTTACTCACCGCTATTCTGAAAATCGAAGTTGGAGGTAGCTCTTTTTCAGCCACATAGAAATATTGACTGACTTTTTTTAATGGCCTTACAAACAAAACGTTACCATCCAAATCTAATAATTCCACTTCATTCAATTCAACATCCTTGGCTTTACTTGATAATTCTATTGCTAAAAACGATGGTATGCCTAAAAAAGGATAATTTACTATTAGTTATTTGTAAAAAAATGTTTCATAAAATAAGTTCAAGTTTTAAGTTGTACATTATGTTGTACAACTTGAAACTGGGTATTAGTAATTTTGTTAAAATTTTGTAGTAACTTAGACATACAGTTTATATCATAGTTAGAATTTTCTATGTCCTAACGAATGATTGCAGTACGTGCGAAAGCTTGTAAATGCGAAAAGGCTATAATTACCTAGAATGGGTCTGGTTACGGTAGTTTTGATTGACGTTGGTCTGGATCCAGTAAAACCTTGTTGGAAGTTTATAGCAGTTACTCCGGTTATGACAACGCTCGAGCTTATCTCACTGCCAACTTCAGCCGTATGATCTCCTGAACCCAATTTTTCAACTCCCACTACCTTAAATATGATTAAAACATTATCCTCAAATATTTTATGCAGCTGTATATTCTATAAAATCGATTGTAGTTGTAGCGTGCTGTAAAGTACAATAACATGAAAGTAATTAAATTGAGAAGGTCAACGCTAGCTTGGGATGGTATGGACATATTATGGAGATGATGTTCAAATAAACAATAAAGTAAGGATTTTGAATGAGGATGGCTACAATTGTAGAAGAAATACATCCGTATCTAGTGAAAGAAGATGTACATGAGGGAGTGAACTCAGATTGACTCGGTTAATTGAACGAGGTTTAGGCTAAGCGCCGTCTGCACTCGGCCACCTCAAGCCCGGTGAATCTGTAAATGCCTCTTCAAGGCAAACAGTGGCCATTCAGTCATAAAAAAAAGTACAAATTGGAGCAACTCTCCGTAGAGAGAAGGGTAGTTTTGTGAAACAAAGAAAGTAAAAATCTTACCACAGTATGTTCATTTTTGAAGATATCTGTTGTATTAGCGTCACTTCCGTCTGGTTTTAATAGTTTAACCTTTGGTTTTAAGCCTGACACAGATATGTGAATATCGTTAATTTCTTTGTCAACAGGAAGCTGAAAGAATAAACAAATGTCACTTATGTTGAACATGATCATGATGTCCTCTTTGATTTGTTCGTTAAATAGAAATTTGTTAATATCGTAGAAGTGTTATAGTCTAATTGTAATCTATGAAACTTTGGTGGAAACAAAAGATGCTAGGTTTTTTTGTGCGCTAAAAAATTTTAAACACTGCGATTTAATAATTCTTCAATTTAAGCGTAAGTTAGTTTTTAATGTTGTAAAGGTAAAGTCGGCTAGTTAGATTTATTTTTTTTACAATAAGCAAAGTTTTATGTTAGTAAGCTCACAAGAATCATGGTAAACTTACTTTTAACGTATTGTTGTATCCAGGTGGTAATACTGCAGAAGTTAATACGGCTCGTCTTTCATCAAGAGTTTTACCAACGAAATCTAACACCTGAAACATTTTTTCATTTTCATTAAACACTTTAAACTTATTTTTGTAATTCCTCTTTATCTTCCTTCTTAAGAAGAATTCACACAACAAGGTTCTACTTTATTCTTTCATATCTAAAAGTATATCAAATGGTTATTTGATATTAGTACAGTATATAATATTTTTAATAATGGTAGAGACCATTTTAACATCTTCACATGAATGTGCCGCTTTGCCCGGTAGAATACCATAACCACACAGAAGATAGGCGTGAATTGGGAATAGTTCAGCGTTTCGTCTAAAAGTGTGAGTGCCGGAGTCTGAATTTTAGTCCCTTTCTTCCCACTTATTTTACTTATAAGGAAATGTGCATTTGACGGTGAAGAAGTCTGATAGGAAAGGGAAACATCGTTATTATGTGCGTCACCTTTTCAGTTGATCGTTTTATATGCGGATGTCTATGGATAGCGATCGCTTCGCCGTTTTGGCGGATTCGGTTGACCGCTCGCTTGTTTTCCACATTACGGTATAAAAATATTTTTCCTCAATTCAAAAAAATCACAATGCAAACTTCATTTCATAGAATTACAGATCATAATTTTACCTCTTCAAGCTCGCCTTTATCAATGTGAAATACTTGTCCTGAGGTAGCAAAAGCAAGGTCATGGTATACTTTGTAAGCTGGATCAGATTCAAGAAATGGAGGACAAACTCCCGTTAACACGATTACAATCTATAAAAGAAATCATAAATTGCGTAAAGATAACCTTTAAGTGAGGTTACTTTACCTTTTACTGATGAACTATTTTCAGGTATAAATTGTTTGTAAAAGTTCACCTGTGATCCTTGTTTGAGTGCCATTCTTTTAATCTTTGGGAATTCACCGTAGTCCTTAGCCGAAGCGTCAGTAAACACAAAAATATATGAACCTGGCATGGAATTTAACAAAGCCTCCTCAATTCCCTTCATCGCCATCTCCGGACAATCATCACCACCGTCAACCTTAATGGCGTTTAAAGCTGTCTTGAATTCATTTTCGTCTGTAGTTACGAGCGCCTTTCGAATATCTATTAAACCATTTAAATCTTACTAGTCTTACTAATAATTTGATTGCGAAAGTTTAGATGGATGGATGGATGGATAGATGTTTGTTAGAGTTTGTAGCCTTAACGGCTGAACGGATTTCGATGAAATTTGGTATATATGCAGAGAATAGTCTAGTAGAACACATAGGCTACTTGCTTTTGTTTTTTTTTAGTTCCACGAGGCCGGACTCGCGGGCGATAGCTAGTATATTATAAAAATGGCGATATTCACCTGTGCAGTTGCCGTCTCTTTATTAGTCAAAGTATGACACCTTGAAGATGAGATAGTTATATTTTGTCTAAATAAGATAGATTAACTTGATAAATGACGCATATGAAGTATCTAATTCAATTTGTATGAAGGCCAATGCCATACTTAATAGACAGGTATCATAGTGACGTAACCAACACGCATAACGAACAATTTTGAACTATCGATATTCGGTTTAAATAATTATCGAACTCAACTAAAATTATTTTTTTCTTATATGCCAATTTATCGGACAATTCTAGTATTGATTATAGTGTAGAGAATTTAGCGATGACAGAAATAATAGCGAAATCCAATTCGATTATGTACGGCTGTAGTAGTAATAAACATTTATTTACTCTCATTATTTGTTATGGTCTTTATTAATTTTAGAAAACAGTGTTTTTTTTTTAAATTCATAAATTATAACTATAAATCTATCGATTTCAACTTCTATAAGAATAAAAATCGAAAATCGATAAGATTCATGACTGATTTTACACAACCATCCCTACTAAATTTGAAGTGAATTGTCAAACTAATCTAATTTAGTTAGACACACTATAGTTACTTTTCAAAATAGCTAACTATCATATTCTTGTAGATCTCAAATAATCGAAATGCCCGATATTATTATTATAATATTAGATTATACCTTAATATATTTATGATAATAAAAAGTCCCTTTGTTATATGACCATTTACTTATCTACGAGAGGAGTCATTATTTGTAATAAATTAAAACGTATGTGACGTCAGTTTTGTTGTGTTTTACAAATGGGGAATACCGGCGTATTTCCTGTTATCAAACTGTTGATAAAAATAATGTAAACATTTAATAAAGTCGCTACTAAGTTCGTGAAATATCTGAATATAATATTTTATATTTTGACTAGTTTTCGCATTCGACTTTGGACGCGTGGAATTAAGAAATACCTCTACCACCTTCTAACCAGAATACGTTGGAATACTAATAACGTAGATACCGGGGTTTTCCTAACCATCTCATAAGGTGACAAACGAGCAAACTGTCACCTGAATCCGCCAAATTGGCGAAGCGATTGCTGCCCATACTTACCCTTAATCGACGGAAGAGGAGACACAGATAAAGAGGACATTTCCCCTTCCTATGCGTCTTCTGAACCGTCAAATTCACGTTTCCATCAATTTCTTATAAGAACAAGGGTGGTAAGAAAAAAGGACTAAAGTTGGCCCACCGGTATCACATTCATCAGACGAAACGCTGAATTTCTCCCAATTAAAGCCTGTCTTTTGTGTGGTCGTGGTATTACAGCGGGCGTGCCGGCCCAATCGTGCTAAGATGTTAAAGCGGGCACTACCACTGATAAAACTCTTTGTTATGGGTCCCATTACTTGTTAGACCTTTGATCACATAAAGAATAAATATAACTACCTACCATCACATAAAAATTATGGTCACAGCAGTAACACTTATAATTGATTTGAAAAAAAAAAAAATACTCACGTGGATCGTTAAATGTCACTAAAATAATATTTCCAATTTGTGATGAATCAGATTCTACAATCTTGTCGAATATTAATTCAGTTTTAACTTTCACTTGCTCTATCTCATTGTACATTGATCCAGTGTCATCTATTACAAAAGCGAAACTGCTCTTTTGGTCTGCTAATTGTCCGTATACGAAAAAACTATTTATACCGAGTGTGAAAAATACATAACTAATTTTAATAAGCATTTTGCACGACTGATCAATTTCGCTGTCGACAGTACACTATTAAGTTACGTATAACACTTGTCAGAACAAAGCTCTATCTCTATAATAAGAGCTATCTAGAGGGGATATGTCAGGGTTATATTGATAAATTAGTTATTTTCTCGTAAAACATACGTCTTGCTAATATTGTGAATGCTCATCAGCCATTGGCTCAGGGGTTACTTAAATTGTAATCTGTCATGGGTTCGAATCTCATTATGAATGTTAATAAATTTTCAAATTTCATATGTACATTTGAACAATTTCTCACGGTGAAGGAAACAAACAACAACGTGATCAAAACTACACATCGCTGAAGAGATTCAATGATATCAACAAACTCGTAGTGATGCAGCAAATTTGGGTTGATGTTGAAAAACAAACAAGAAGTTAATTTACTTTTTAATTTTCAAATCTTCTTAAAAGCCATGTACGGCCTTGACTTAAATTGGTAAATTGAAAGATTTTCTCGAACTGAGTAATGTCACAGCAAAGCATAAAACCACTTTTTAAGTACTTCTCGTCAATTTCTCCTGTTATCCAGGGTATTTCATCACATTTGCTAATGCAGACTTGATATGTTGCTATGTTGTCTATCAAGGATGGCGGAACATTGATTTGGACAATTACTACTGAAGAAGATGTGTACGTATCGCTAATCACCTGAAAGGTCAAATGTTAACAAAAACAGAGTAAACAATTTAGACAATGAAATTTGTGCGTTTGATTACAATTTTTTTGGCGTAAATTAATCAATGTCTTTTTTTTATAACATAAGGTGGCTAACGAGCAATCGGCCACCTAAATCCGCCAAAATGGCGAAGCGACCGCTGCCCATAGACATCCGCAATTACAGATGCGTTGCCTACCCTTATACGACGGAGGAGGAGACGCACATAAAAATAATATTTCCCCTTCCTATGCATCTCCTCCACCGTCAGACCCACTTCCCCTTCCCATCCTCTCCTTATAAGAAAAGGGTGGTAAAGAGAATGGGACTTAAATTAGGCCTCCGATACCAAACTCATCAGACGAAACACGGAATTGCTTCCATTTCACGCCTGTCTTCTATGTGGTCGTGGTATTACACCGGGCGTGCCGGCCCTGCAGTGCTAAGATGTTAAAGCGGGCACTACCACTGTTAAAAGTTCTAATATATTTAGCAAGCGGCCCAAGACGTGGAGTATAAAGTCACAAAGGGGAGCCTGGATGAACTTTTATGTCTTTCATGTTATTTTAAATATAATAGTTAACACAAATAAAATTGTAACTATGTGTTTTACCTTCCATAAAAATGTCGGTACTTTAATAGAGTTTCCAGCTTCATCGGTAATATTAATTTGAATTTGTCCTCTAAGAACGTCATAATTTACTCCTGTTGTAACAATTATATTTCGCTTTTCAATTCTTTTTTTGGCATTTTTCCTAACTTTTTTTTCTATAATTTTCCAATACTGAAATGGAAATAATTCATTTATTAGTATCAAATTATTATTTGATTTTTAGTTATTCCCCTTCTTCCGAGCGGAATTAAAAAGATACCTTTGTAGGCTACGTGCTATTTCAGAAAATAATATACTCCATTTTGAAATTCATATAGAAAATATATGGATACGTTGAGCCGTTTTGAGATTAGCGTTTACTATAGGCGCGAATGATTGTATAATTATACAATAACAACACAAACATTAGCTGAAAGTTGTCTCGTCACGAAAGTTCTGTTTTCTACCCCTTGTGCTATGGTGCTGCATTAAAACTTTGGTTACTAAATTAAAACCAACTGGTGATATTTTAACAATAAAAATACTTACTCTTGCAGCATCAGAATTCCAATGTGGGACAACATTTAGATAGCTGTATGTTAACAGTTGTGGAAAACCAGGCGGTACGTCTTTTTCATTTATAAGCTGTGTGGGAATATAGCACTCATCTTCATTACCAGATAGTGATCGGCCTAGTACTGCAGATATATTATCGCTCTGTCGCTTGCAATCGTAGATTTCGTTTTGATTGTAACTTAGCATGTCACTATGAAACCATTTTTCTTCAAGCATACTTGCCGCTTTTACACCTGCAGCCCAAGGTCTTAAAATGTGCTCAGTGTACAAGCTTCTACGTGTCCCGTCAGAGCATATTTTATACAATTCTATGAAATCAAATACAGATTGTATACCGATTTGATAAAGTGTTCCTTTACAACGTTCTGTACTTTCCATCGGGTTTGTTACTATCTGTAATGCTTCTTTACACTTCAATGTACGATAGTCAACGAGTTCTTTATTAATTTCAAAAGTTGTACCTTCTCTGCATGTTGCTTTTACTGTTCGCTGAGGAAATTTATTGAATGTTCCATTGCAGAAAAATTGCACCGTTGTACCAATGGGTATCGCTAAATGTCTATCTTTTATAAAGAAATCCGGTAATTTGAAAGTATTGGTAAGTATAAGTGGACGATATCTATCAAAATCTTTTTCTATATTTAACAAGCAATCTGCAATAACAAACAATTCAAATTTATAATAGAAATATACTGAAGATACATAATAAACGAAATTTTACGAAGGCAATACTATTTAGGATGGTCGACTTATGTACAATCAAAGAAACTGGCATGTTTCACTTTAGAAATTAGTCGTTTGAATGTTTTGTAAGCGTTGAGTGGACGAAACGGAACAATAACAAAATAAACGCAGCTTTTTAATGTGTGTTCGGTCAGTGGTAACTGCTTTTTATTATTAACTAGTCATTTTCATACTCAATGTTTCAAAAATGTTTATTGTAAGACGAGATGGCGTTTATCTTATGACGGGGCAATCTCTGTAAGTGCAACATCGTGGTATTCAGTGATTATACATGTAAATTGTCCAAGAATAACTATATGGGTAAATTGTTTGTTCTTAACATTACTCCTTTTTGAGAAATCTTTAAGGCGTTAAGTAAGTAGTCAATTCGTTAAGTATCCTATCTTGTTAATATTATAAAGGACAATGACAGAACTTCACACATCGTTTAAGCCTTAAGCGCCTAAAGTACGTAACTTATGTATGTAAGTTCGGTTTAATTTACCCGACTATCGATAATTTCTTCGATCGAAGAATCTCTAGCATCACGAACACGACTTGCTGGAAAACTGAATAAGTCACTTTAAGATACGAAAAAAGTAATCTAAAATTTTGCTATTGTCCTTTATTATCTGCGTGGGAAATATTTGTAAAGATAAAAAAGTGGTTTAAAAGATTTTTATACTCACTCACCATTAGCTGTTACAGTAAATTCCCTACTGATATTTCCAAATTTATTTTTAGCCAGACATTTGTATTTCCCTTGATCGCTTACTCTATTCTGAACAGAATAGGTCATGTCGTCGTAATTCATTCTTATATCATTTTTCCACCATAAAACCTATTCAATGAGACATAGTTTTTGATTTTTTGTTAACATTAACAACTTCTAAAGATGAGTTAAAAGTCAACATTTCTTATATGTCGTTGCTCAAATAAAAAAAAATCAGAACTTCTGTAGAAAAGGTAACAAATTTGCGCTATTGTAAAAACATCGCTGAGTTCTATAACCAACGAAGCTGTCGCCCGCAAACTCTGTTAGCACAGAACATTCCCATGGGCATCTACCTTTTAAGGAAGGTAGCCTTCCAGTCAAAGTCCCGTCCATATCGGTCCACCCGTTCCAGAGATAGCGATCAGGTCGCCAGACAGCGTGGTATTTTAAAAAAGTAGCCTATGATATGCCCGTCTATGTTAGCTACCCAATGAAAGTCCCGTCGAAATCAGCCCAGCTGGTTCTGAGAAAACCCGGAACAAACGGGGCTAACAGACAGACAGACAGACAAAAAAAAATTAAATGTGATTTTCAGCTATGCAAATACATCATCTTCCCGAAATCTGGATTTTTGTTTTGATATAACAAACAGACATTCCAATTTTATTATATGTATTTATGGATACAGATTATTAAAAATATTACCTCTGTTTTCGGCAAACCAATATGTACGCATGTTAAATATGCCTCTTGGTCAAACGGCACATTGTCTACCTGAGAATTTGTGTCAAATTGGAATTTTGGTATAGATCCCGTTTTAACGTCAACTCCGTCATTTTTATATTGGAACCCATTATCCACGCGACATACATATTTTCCACTTAGATTATTTTTATATGGATTCCACGTCAAACTTTTATCAAAACCAGCCAGATATTTTGTCTAAAAAAGAAATATTAGGGTCACTAAACAAGATATATTCTGTACCTAGTTACTCACTAGCTGTTCTTATGTTGGCAGCTTGTAGTTTATGGTCCCTTTCCCACATGAAGGTATTTTCCAATTTATTTACCCCCTAAGTTTAATAGCGTGAAAATATATATCCTTTAGCGTGTCGTAACTGTTGAGATTTTTATTAAAGAAATAATTATTAAAAAATGTGCTGTGATTGTTGACATCCTACGCCACAAAGTAGTGTGTGTTTAAACTGTGTTAAATTGAGTAATAGAACTGTAGATTATTAACCGAAGGTCGGGTAATTTTATTAATTTATACTGTTACATATTAAATGAATGAGAAGTTTAAAAATACAAATCTATACTACTGTAATAAAGCGTAAACTCACACTTCTTTGTTGCCTAAGATGTCAGTAATTACAGCATATTTTTGAATAATTCTTTTTTTAATAAAAAGCCCTACACTTGCGTCATGCTTTAGGCTATATATTTTAACACCATTTAACTTAGGAGGTATATATTTTGGATAAAAACCCTAATGTGGGAAAGAGACGATAAGTTGCTGCCAACATCAAGGAAGCAAGATTGCCAAGGTTTGTCATGTCATGTCATGTCATGTCATGTCATTTTGACATTTGCAATTGATAACTTGACAAATGTAAACAATAAAATAAAATTTTCATTATTTCACGCGGATGAAGCCGCACCGGAACAGCTAGTTTAGAATAAAAAAGGAAATAAAACGCACCTTGTACACCTTGTACCACCGAATATCTGTAGTGGGTTGCGCTGCTTTGCATTGAACTGTTGCATTTTTATCTTCTAAAAAGTATTCTACCGTATAACCTTGTCTTAAATTCGGGTACTCTGCAAAAGAAAATATTTTTAACGTTATAATAATCTCACTAATATTACTATTGTTTGTTTAAGTTTGAAGCCTAAACTGCTTAACGGATCTCGATGAAATTTGGTACAGATGTAGATAGTCTAGAGCAAACTACTTACTTTTGTTTTAAAAGGTGGTAATTACCATATTAATTTATTGTGCCAAAAAAAGTTATTTTCATCAAATTTTTAAGACCAATTAAAATATGAAACAGGCTGTTTGAGATCAGGATGTATTAAAGATAGATACGCTTTATTAACACATCAACTTTCTCTCTTTCCTTACTTTTTATACAATAGATGTAATGCAAATTAGACAAAGTCCTATTTCACGGATCTAGTAAAGAGTACAAAAAAACTTACTTGCAACGTTTACTTGAAAAGTCTCTAACACTTTACTAAAATCTTGCGCCATGCAATTGTATATTCCCGCAATAGTATTTCTAACCTTTTTGATAATCAGACTTCCATCTGAATCCATTGAGTGCCATTCATTACCTGCAAGACATCGTAGTAATGTAGTTGTTTGTTTAACTACACTTGTAGACGAAAACAACTGACGGTTCTACTAATCGTACTAATATTATAAATCCGAAAGTTTAAATAGATGTACATATGTTTGTTAGATGCTATCTTTTAAACGGAAAAATGAATCTCGAAGAAATTCGGCATATTTGCATAGATGTATGTTAAAACATTGGCTGTGTACTTTTGTTTTTTTTTGTAACTCGACGCGCAAGAATTTCAAAAGACAGACAAAGCTAGTATAGTAATAACTTCTTATTGTCTACATTTCTTAAAACTTTCAATAGCAAATATCGAAATTCAATTGCGCGAGTAACATCGAAGGTCCTTGCAATTAGCTCGATTGATTTATGAGTAACTTTACTTCTTTACTGCTATTGGCTTATAGGTTTTATCCCGCTTTCACATGACAAATTTTCCTAATATTTTCACCCCCTAATTCTGGTAGCATAGAAAGGATGAAAAAAGAAAATATTTTAAGTAATTGGACCTCCAGCACGCATCCATCAGACGAAACGCAGGATTGCTACCACTACACGCCTGTCTTTTTTTTTGTCGCGGGGAATGCATTTACGCACTTCACCGTCCATGCTGCGG